ACATCTTACCCAACTCAGAGATTTGGCGCGTAGAGAAAATTTTGACATTTTAACAATATCTGAAACATGGCTTAACACTAGTGTTTCGTCTGCCGAAGTAAGGATAGACGGATATAATCTTTTCAGATTGGATCGTCTTAATAAACGCGGCGGTGGTGTATGCACGTACGTTCGCAAAGAACTTAAATCATCTGTTTTAAAATCCTTAACTTTCATTTCCGAAGAAAATTTCCATCAACTATGGATAAATGTCCAGTGCCAGAAATCTAAGTCGCTCATAATTTGTGTAGCCTACCGACCACCTGACTGTCCTCTGCACTGCTTTGAACATACATTAAAACCAAATTACATGGAAGCTCTTCTATTAAACAAACCAATCGTGATCCTAGGTGATCTAAATTGTGATGGATTAAAGGATAATTGTGTAGAATATAAAATTATGGATAGATTTTAAATGAAATGAACCTCACTCAACTTATTAAATCGCCAACGAGGATCACTGATGCAACTCAATCATTGCTAGATGTTATCCTAGTGTCGTCGAAGTCAATTGTGTACCGAAGTGGAGTATTGCTTACATCAATCAGTGACCATCTACTTGTGTACGCTGAACTTAAGATTAAGTCTCCTAAGCAACCTTCGCAATACATTACAGCACGTAGCTTTAAAAATTATGTACCGAATTATTTTGCAGCTGATCTTGCGGACAAATCAGATTGTCTCCTATCTATTTTTGACGGCGACGATGTAAATGCTAAACTAAACATTTTTAACCATGCGATCCAGTCTACACTAGACGTTCATGCTCCAATTAAAACAATTAAGATCCGTAACCGACCATGCCCATTTATTACCCAAGACCTCAGAAACCTTATGAAAGAGAGAGATCGATTACATCAACGATTTCTACGTACGCGGGATATTATAGACTGGGTCAATTATAAGAGCTACCGGAAAAATGTGAAGAGAGATCTTAAGAAGGCGGAGAATGAGTATAACTCTAATGAAGTACGGCAACATAAAGATAATCCGGGGTCTCTATGGAAAATAGTAAACCGTCTTATACCATCAAAAGGAAAAGAAAGACAAATTTATAAAGGAGACCATAAATCTCTTGCAAATGATTTCAATCAGTTTTTTTCATCGGTTGGTGAAAATGCAGCAAGGGCGTCTTCTCATCTAGCAGATACTAACAACATCAATCTACGAGAATCAATCGAATCAGTCGTTATAACTGAAATCGACCAATTTAAGTTTAGAGCCGTAACTTGCCACGAAGTACGTCGAGTAGTTTTATCGTTACCTCTCAATAAATCATCTGGTCCGGATAAGATTAACCCACGGATCATAAAGGACTGTCTTCCGGTCATTTTGGGTCCTTTAACGGAAATTATAAATTGTTCCCTTCGTACTTCTACTTTTCCTCTGGCATGGAAAAAGGCAGAACTTATTCCTATTCATAAAGAAGGTGACCACGAGGTACCCTCAAATAATCGACCAGTTTCCCTTCTTGTAGTCGCATCTAAAATCTGTGAAAGATTAGCTCTTGAGCAATTTAGCTGGTACCTAACAAGCAACAACCGACTATCCTCCCACCAAAGTGGAAATAAAAAACTTCACTCGACAGAGACATTAAATGTTTTTATCACTGACACCATCTTAAAGGCCATGGATAAAAAGAAACTCTCAGCTCTAGTGTTGCTTGATCTCTCAAAAGCATTTGACAGTATAAACCATCAGAGACTACTTCATAAACTATCAAATGTCGGAGCATCCAAATCAACAGTAAACTGGTTCAGAAGCTACTTAACAGACCGTTTCCAATCACCCCGTATTAACTCTACGTTATCAGATCCATTACCGATAACTTATGGTGTACCTCAAGGGGCCATTTTATCGCCATTGCTCTTTTGTATATACCTTAACGACCTACCCTGTGCATCTTACAATGGTGATCTTGAATCATACGTTGATGATACGAAAACTTTGTTATCGTTTCCTTTAACGGAAGCTGACACTGGAATTAAAAATCTGGAACTGAGACCTACATAAAATTGCGTCTTGGTGCTGTGAAAACAATCTTTTGGTGAATCCAGATAAAACAAAATTCATGATCATTGGAACCAGGCAGCTGATGAACGAACTTGATGTCAATATTTCGATCTCTTTTATGGGGAAAATTCTAGAACCTGTTGATTTTGCCAAAGATCTAGGACTTCTAATGGACAGTCACCTAAGTTACGATAAGCACATATCGAATCTAGTGTCGTCCTGCCTTTATAAACTGTGCCAGATAAACAGAGTTAAAAATAATTTTGACAAGGGAACACTTACAATGATAATCACTTCATTAGTGATCAGTAAACTGCTCTACTGTTCCACTGTGTGGTCAAATACAACATGCACTAATATAAAGAAACTTCAATCTATTCAAAACTTTGCATGTAAAATAATCACAGGATCCAAGAAATACGATCATGTAAGCCCATTACTCCAAAATCTTGAGTGGCTCACAGTTGACAAATTACTCTATTTCCGTGATGCCGTAATGACTTTTAAATGCATGAACAACTTAGCGCCGAAATATCTTTGTGACATGTTTGAGAAACGATCTTGTATTCCTAATCGGTCTACGCGGAACTGCAACTCAATACAGATACCATTGTTTAAAACAGCGGCAGGGCAACGGTCATTTGCTTTTAGAGGAGCTTAAATTTGGAATAACTTAGACACTGAGCTAAAGAAATGTACATCACTTAAGACATTTAAAAGTCAACTTAAAGAACACTTACTGTCTACTTAGACTATAGACTACTTCCTATTTTAGACTATTAAAAACTTAGATATCAGTCATTTTTATTCCTAATTTGTAGAAACTGTAAATATTTTAAAATTGTAGTTTTATAAAATAATTTTGTAAATGGGTTCTGAAAAACCCTTTTGGGAGAAACCATTAATTTTAATAATAATAATAATAATAATAATAATTTACCAACACGATATAACCACGGTTAATAGAAGGAGGATGGTTAGGCTAGCTGAACCACGTGACAAATCAGGCATTAAAATAGCGTGTCCTTGTACACACATTGTGTCCTTGTAAAAGGCGAATGTGCCCTTGTAAATTGAAAAGTGTGTACTTGAAAATATATTAAACAGAAAATATATTAATGTAATCCACGCAAAATGGCCAAATATTTTCCAAATCTGTTCTCAGAACACTGGAAATGCCATTTCAGAGACCCCCTTAAAAGCTCTCGTCTTCGACGCTAAACTTGTGGCTTCGCCACTCGTTCTCGTGAGTCAGCGCATTTATACCAATAATACGCCTCTGAAGGCAAAGTGTGTCCTTGTAAAAATTCCGTATTTTAATGCCTGTGACAAATATGTTATTGTTCTCATTTTATTCACGTAACGAGATAGTGGGACGCTTCGCAGGAGTGTAATAGAAAATATATTGTTGGCTTTTGTGATGTATAAATTTACGTATTTTCGACTCTACGCCTGATATGATAACGGATTTGATTTATACTTCGAAGTTCGGAATGATCTGATCGTATTCACTAGTTTTAAAGGTATTTTTTATTGGTTTTGAGATATAACCACGCTATGCTAAGTGTATATTTTCTGTATCATATTCCATTCTCAAGTGTTCGAGGATTTTCATATATACTTAAAAACGATACTTTTGGAGTTTGTCCGGGAAAAACTGCTCTGCGTTTGGTCGTGAGAGTTGCGATAGACACAATGAACGACAAAATACCCAGTGTTTTTAGGACGGCGGATGGAGAACAGCTCGAGTAGAATTGCTAAGGCCGCTATTATGAAAGAGGGTCGAACGTATTGATGCGAAACAAACAAATGAAGTAAATTGAACTAATATTACAAATGTATCAGCCCAAATCATGTGCCTATGTGCCACTACTTGTCATTGATAGTGATTTCTGGTTCATGTGTAGTGGACTATTATAAGTAACATTCGGAATAGTCAAACTGATATCTGTTATTGAATTTTCAAATTAGTATCCTCAAAAAACCATTATATTATAATGTATGGCATAATGATAAATGAAGATAAATGAATTGTATAGTTACAAATTTTATAAAATATATAATATCACTTTCTTTTCACTACTGTTTTACAGTAAGGCAAAGGCTTTACCACGTTTTGCATCGTTTTCATACTCGATAATATAATCTTTGGCACGGTTGAATTCACCCGACTTTTTTATATCGCATCCCACATTGTTTCCAACGATCGAAATGTACTTTTCACAACGTATAGCTTCTACAATGTCAATCAACTAAAGAAGTAAATGCACCTTTATATATAAATAGATACTTCGTACAATAGATTCCCCATGACCATGTGTTGTAAAGTGTTTTGAATTACTAGCTATATGCCTTGTAATTTGGCACTAAGGCCGCAAATTTGTCGCACACATACTGTAGCACGGAAAACACTTCTCACTGTCGATTGGACAACAGAAAAATCAGTATTTAATACAACTGTTTTTCTTCCGCTAATAGTAACAGGGGCCTCGATGATATAAAAATCTTCGTCTATAAATCTACGTATTCGCTCTCTCGTTCATCTTCCAAACACGATACCGTCATTTCCAATCGTTGAAAACTTTCTTTGCTTTTATTATTACTGTTTTCAAATGTCTGCATCGATGAAGAAATCACTCCTCTTTCGATATCACTATCCATCGTTATTATAAATGCTCCAAAAGATACAAAAAAGCTTTTATTATCAGTATTAACCCAACACTTTCAATATAATTTCCTATTCAAATGTCAACACAGGCGTCCCCCTATCTCGACACGTGACATTTTTTTCCTTTGTGCTCAACATAGTTTGCCGCCTCCTTTGAAGTTTGCCGGCTAGCCTAACAACGCCCTATCCCTATAAGACTTTGAGTTTTTGTCATAGTAGCCTTTTACGCATACTTTTTAAACTTTTGTAAAGAAATCAAGCATGCTTAAAATCAATTAAGCATAAAATCAATCGTGCGTTCTGTAGCATAGTAATTAGAGATCCGGGGAGACTGTGCGTTGTCCAATATGTCGACTGCTTGAATAAACAATTTATTATGTGGTGTCAGAAGTTATTATCGAATCCTTTCATATTTTATCCATCCGTTTACATTCAGCAAAAATATTCGAGATAAATAAGCGATGGATAAACTACTAACAATAAAACCAAATCGTATAGATAATTAAATATACATCCAAACACTAAAAAAACGTTGCCATATACATACACATACTACTTTACATTTTAAAATTTACCGTCGCAGGAAGAGAAAGGCGAAATGCTAGAGAAGTAATGAACTGGATACAGATGCGATCAATATATAAAATTTTAGAAAGTTAAAATTTGACTTGTTCTAGCTTATATTGATTAGTTTTGTTAGGGTTTTGTTAACATTGTTAAAGAAAGGGAGATGTAGCATAACAATTAGAGATCTAGCTCTGGGGCGACTGTGGGTTGTTCGACGACACCTCGACGTTTAATATATTGTGCGTGAAACGCTAATATTGCAAAAATCTAAGTTTTAGATTCTTGATAAATTCTTTTCAATTTTAACAATAAAAACTGAGTCACTTCGCGCGAGAACAGGCTTTATAGCGTGCATCAAACTGTTGGTGTGATAGTTCATAAACATATCCCAAATTTACCTTCTATGTATTCAACTTACGTTTTAAGACTGCCATTTTTGTGAGCAAGCCATTTTAAAAAGTCGTTCTTAAACTCTCTTGCACTCGAAAATTTACTTTTGAAAATAATTTTAATTAGTGGTAAAGATTAGCAGACCCTAAACTACCAATACTTGCATACAGTTTTCACAATTTTTGCGAAGTGTGTAGTTTAGAGGACATTTTCGAACTGTGCAGTATTTTTGAACACCATTACATCCTGTGTGCCCTCAGAGTCCAACGCATATTATGAAAAAACTCTACCTTGCACCCACAATTTAATGAGGCTTGCATTCCCAGAAAACAGTTTAGTTAAAGCAATTGTAATACATCCAACATTGTTGGGACTGGGCAAAGAGACGGTGGGGACGAGTAAATTAGGTCGGTATAACAGGAAAAATGCGGTAGAGAAATGTTTTGATAAAGTGTGTGTGATGGTTTTCTCCACGATTGTAGTTGAAGCAATTGTGCGAAATCTTTCATCTCAAAAATCTTAATAATGATACTGTAAGTAATATTCTCAAATTTAATTATCTTTCCAGGTAAGTGAAACGAAAGAAGCCGTGTTCATTGACCTACAAAAGATTACAACTTCATTTATCGCAATTCGCTCTAAGTCGTATCCGACAAAGTATCTGGCTATCTCAGCATCAGGATCTGTTAGTGGTTGTACGAATACGGGCAGTGATAATACGATGTACATGTTTACTTTGTTGCCTGCTACTTAATTTTATGTATATAAACTGTACGAAAATATGATGAATAAACGTAATAACATATTTGAAGAATTCACACTCTGAAAATACACTGGCTTAAAACTTCCTTGGTTCACCCTCGTGCCCAGGATCTTTACTCTACGTAGACTGAGTACGAGTTGGACTTGGGTTGACCTAATATTCCTGATAAAACGTCCTCTTTTTTACCACACTTACTGCCATAGTCTCACAAACTTCGGGCTTGATAATTCTTCGCATAATTATGCTCAACCTCATTCACATAATTGTTAGATATTCTCACCGAACCGTTTAATCTTACTGTCTCTAGCTGTGAAGATAAATGACTGCATTTCATTGTTCTCAACTACTGTTCTTTTTTATTATTATATCATCTTTTTGCTTCTCGAATTATCTGTTTCCCTAGTTCGCTTGATACGCCTTCGTCTCACAAGTCCTTTTCCTTTTGCTTTTCGTATTACAAGAAGCAAACATCTGTCGTCTAGGCACTGAACCAACTCCGCGAAAGCATCTGCATTCTGTATCACCTCGCACAAATATCTCGTTTCATTTTGCTGTCTCATCTGTGGTATTGGTGGTAACAACTTAACCTTCCACAGTTCATGTTTATTTTTATCGCGGTTAATACAACAATCCACTTATGGACCCATAACCTGTTGTTCGAAAACACACATTAAAATTTACTGTGGAAGTTCACAAGACAAAAGGTCAAGTGATTTTATTACAATAAGTTACAATATTTGCACAAATAACGTTAAACTGTGATTGGTCAGGGTTATGATTATTAGTAACACCCGGGGAAATGAAAGAGTTAGCGAAGTTTAAACTTCATCAATGATCGCATGCCCGTCTCATTGTGTTATGAGTGGACCTCCTTACTGGTCTCAAAAATATGGCTGTTTGACAGGAGTGGGATAAGAAAAATTTCAATTTTCAAAAGCATTATTTCAAAAGCATAACAAAAAATCGTTTCGTACAATGAGCTTTCAAACAATTTTTCAATAGTGTGATTATTTACACCTCTTTTGCTGTTGATTAACTGCTTTGTATCACGTAATATTACTGCTGTTTGTCCCAATCAGTCATAATCTAACCATCAGTCAATTGGTCCGTCCAACATTTTGTTACTCAGTAATATATTTGAGTAGATCCAGGAAATAGTGATTTAAGGCAAGTCTATACTGACTCGGTCAGACAATTACCATAGGTTTCTGAATTTCTGAGATGGAAATTGCTCCCTCCCCCTGTCTCGTACGCTTATGAACACATATGCACTTAACATACCTATTTTTACGTAAGTCGGACAACTTTTAGTATTTGAAAAAGAATTGATTTGTAAGGAATTAATGGGAAGAATTTTATGCTTTATCTTGTATTAATTTTTATAAGAATATTGCACATTATAAGGCTCTAGTTCCCCCTATCTGCCTTATTTTCAGGGCCGTAGCGACAGGAGGATGCGGGCGGGGGAGGGTGCAACACCCCCTGATAATTGCTCAAGAGCTATTTCAGGTGGGTTTTTAGTGGATTTCCACGTAAATTCAGGTATTTCTCAGGGCTACTCTATGCTCCGAATCAGAATTAGAGTTAACAATCGACCAACTAAAGACGTTGAGAGCCGTCATGGCCAGGGGGCATGGCCAAATACGCGTTCTGACAATCGGGAGACCCGAAATTTCAAAATTTTATCAATTTCAGCTGAACTTATTGAATTGTCAACAGCATCAAGAAGCGTAGCATCATCAGCAAAGATAAAGGGACATGTTTCGAGGTCATCAGTTATATCATTGATGTAAATTACTAAAACAAAAGTGATCCCAAAACTGAACCCTTTGGTACTCCGGAACTGATCCTTTCCCAATCTGACGTCTGCCCTTCAATAACTACACGTTGCAATCTATTTTCAAGATAACTTTTAAACCACTGCAAGAGAGGATTACGTAATGCCAGTGCTTCCAGTTGCTTAAGTAATCCGGCGTGCCAAACTCTATCGAATGCCTTGCTAATATCTGGAAGAACAGTCCTAACCTCTTTACCAGCTTCAAAAGCAAAATTAATCTGGTGTACAAAGTACAACAGTTGATTGACTGTTGAACCCCCTTGTCTGAATCCCGATTGAATTTATCAGAAAAAACAATTTCTAATAAAAAATTGTAAAGTCTTACAAAGGCGACTCTTTCGCACATTTTTGACAAACACGGTAAAAGCTATATAGGTCGATAGTTAGTTTTTAATTGGAGAGATGATTTTTTTCGTCACACGGGCAATTATTTAAATAATCTCATTATCTTTCATTCACTTTGCCTTTGGCACCAACATTGCCGTCATCTTACAAGTCTGCTAAGTTTGCTAACTTCGTTCAGAATTTTTCTTTTCCAATAAAGAAACACACCTACAATCTTTGCCAGAAACTATGGGACAGCTGCTGTAATTTCATATAATTTGAAAGGAATAGCGCCCCCGTTCCCCCAGTTCAATGTTGGGCCAACAAAAATCTGATGTCTGGATACGCGGCGCCAACATTGAAACGGGTGGGGGGAGGGACGGTGGAAAATATGTATCAGGAACTGGTATATTACAACCGAATGCATGTGAAAACTAGATTGTCCCAATCTATATTGTCAAAGATTGTCTGTTGAAGTAATACCATTACTCTTAAATTTAACTTAATTCAACTTGTAGACATCATGAAGCTGTGTACGCAGTTATATTTTCATAATTTATTCACCTCTTTTAGGTCCTCTAGCAATTTCGTTGCACACGGATAATTTTCGTGTATTGTGTTATACAATGTTTACGTATGCATGTGTTAGGAAATAGCTAAAATCCGGCTGAAATATCGCGTATATTTAAAATTAGATTTAAAGGCTTGTAGTGCTACATTTTAGTCATAATTCATAGAATTCCATGCATTGGAAGAGTATTGGAACTCTATTTAAAGAAAATTGACAACTGAGCCATCTTGTTATCATAACTAAGCGCGTATATGTGACAATGAGATCAATATAGAAACGTCAAAATAGATCAATCTCACCACGAATCTCACCATATTTTCATGGGTTCACACGCCATAAAAGCCTTAATAGCAGACAATATCAAACAAATTCACCCTAGGCATTTAAAGTCCAACATATTTTACAAGATAGCACGATTTTACAAGTTTTCGTAACGAACTGACTAAGATACGAATGATTTTCTAGCAACGATTCTCACTTTCTGTCTTAAAATAGCCAATGAGATTGATTTTTGATTGATTGATTGACATCTTTATTTAAAACACGAGGTCCATTTCACAGGTTATGTTATGTGCTCTTCAATGGAGACGTGTACCTATACTAGTCGACTAATTACTAATAAAAAAGTATTAAACTATTTACAAAGGTAACAAACTACACGTGCAAAGAAACTAATATAAAAAGAAATATTAAGATATTTTAGATTTAAACTCAACGAGAGATTGAACTCTAGTGAGTTCGACGGGTATGTCATTCCAGAGGGTAGCTCCTCTGTAGGAAAAACTTTTCTTCAAGGATTCCGTTAAGGGTCTTGGTACAAAAAGTTTATGATTAGATCCACGCAAACTATGTTCGTGTATCATTGACGTGGAAGTAAATTTTCCAGACAAATAACTAGGAACCATATTATTAACAGTTTTGTACATAAAAGTTTTGAACTGTTGGGTACGTCTGGTTTCAAGGTTGGTCCAATTCAATGATGTTAAAATATCTGATGACCGGATGTTATAATCAGATTCAGTAATAATTCTTGCGGCCCTATTCTGTAATCGCTGTAACCTTTGTCCAAGACCCTTACCTAGGCTATCCCAGACAATACTACAATAATCAAAGTAAGGCTGTGCTAAAGAGTTATAGATCATGACAAGAGTTGACTGTGGGAGAAATGGTTTTAGTCTTCGTAGAACTCCAATCACCTTGGAGACTTTGGAGATTATAGTAGAAACATGATGCTCCCATGTCAAACTCTCGTCCAGTTTTAAACCTAAACACTTATAAGATCTAACTCTTTCAATTTTGTTTCCGGCGATAGCAATATTAGGTTCTTCAGGAATAGTACTTAATTTTTGTCTGGATGCCATAAACATACATTTAGTTTTAATCGCATTCAGGCTTAGTTTATTCTGGTTAAGCCAGTTTTGGAGAGTTTTAAGGTCGTCATTTAGAACAGAAATCAACTTGTCAGGGTTGCTGTCCGCAAAAGTCAAGTTGGTATCATCGGCGAATAAACGCCCATCTGATACCAATTCACTATTAGGTAGGTCGTTTATATATATTAAAAACAGTAGTGGACCTAAGATAGACCCCTGAGGAACTCCACATGTTACTTTACGAGTATCAGATCGTATGTTGTTAATAACTGTTATTTGAGTACGATCAGAAAGATAGTTTCTAAAAAGATCAATCGCTTCTTTGTTGAAACCGTAACAAGCTAACTTCTGTAGTAAAATGTTATGATCAATGGTATCAAAAGCCTTTTTTAAATCAATGAATAAGACAGCATTTATTAACCCACTGTCCATGTTAGTGTACCATTTATCAGTGACATCAAGCATAGCTGTTAACGTTGAGTGAAGAGGTCTAAATCCTGACTGTATGTCAGATAAAAGGTTGTTTTTGTTTAAAAAGGTATATGCTTGGTCAAAGACAACTTTTTCAAAAATTTTTGAAACTACAGGAAGGACTGTAATAGGCCTATAATTATTCAAATCTAGTTTTGAATCATGTTTATAAATTGCTGATACCCTGGCACACTTCTAGTCAGCGGGAATAATTCCCTTACGAATTACTAGATTAATAATGTGAGTAAGTGAAACCACAGTAGTGAAATTAATTAGTTTTAATAAACGAACAGGAATGTTATCAAGACCGCTAGCCTTAGAAGTCGATAATTTATAAATTAGTCCATCTATTTGAGATGGAGTAACTTCATGTAATTCAAAAACTTAATTACATTGCGGAATGTTAGAAGAGGCCGCACCAGTTGTTGGAATTTGTGCTGCTAATTTAGGTCCGATTTCAGTGAAGTGCTTATTAAAAACATTGCTAATAGTTACTGGGTCAGTAATTTCGATTTCATCTTGCAAGATTTTGGGTATAGTAGTTGAATTTTTAGATTTAGAAAGAAGACTGTTGATGCCATTCCAAGTTTCATTAGTTCGACCTACGTTGAGTTGAAACAAAGAATTATAATATTGCTTTTTACTATCTCTAATTTTATAGTTAACTAGATTTTTAGCTGTTTTAAAATTGACCCAATCATTTTCATCATTAGTATAAACTGCTTTACGCTTCAATCGATCTCGTTCCCATATTAATTTCTTGATTTCTACAGAGAGCCATGGGGCACAATTTTTCCTTATTCTTCTTTGTTTGACTGGAGCATGCTTGTCAGCAACATCAAGAAATAGTTTTTTTCCAAATTTGCCAAGCATTTATAGGATCATCTAAGGAAACTATGTACTGCCAAGGAATAGCATCAATGTCATGCTTGAATGAAGTTTCATCAAAATTTTTATAACTGCGGGATTTGATAGTTATAGGCTTAGATTTAACACTGGAGTGTTTTCTGATAGCATAAATTAAATTATGGTCGCTGATACCTAGAACTATAACGCCCGCAGAAGTAAAGTTGTTCGGTTCATTAATAAGAAAGAGATCGATTAACGTGGATGAGCTATTTGTAACTCTAGTTGACTCCTTAATAAGTTGAGTATATTGATATGACTCACTTAGTTCGAGTAAATGTTTAGTATTATTATCTGCAATAGATGCACTCATGTTACAATTTAAATCACCAATGATATTATTTTCAATACCAAGGAACTCGATTTTATCTAAAATTACCTGAAGTTTGTCAAAGAGATCCTTGCAAGAATTAGGAGGTCTGTACCAAGTTGATATTAGAAATGGTTTAACTTTAGGTTTACTGATCTCAACGCACAGAAACTCAAGGGCTTCATCATGAAGATCATTTCTGAGATTAAAATTAATTGAATTTCGGATATACATAGCTACACCGCCTCCGTGTCGTGTTCGATCGTTCCTAACTAAAGTATATTTATCAATTGATATTTCAGAATTACTAATAGTTTCATCAAGACGAGTTTCGTTTAAGACCAGTATATCTAAATATTGATGTTGCATGTTTAATCTTAATTCAGCGATATGCTTGGGTAAACTTGCAATGTTTAGAAAAGCAATTTTGAAGCCTCTGTGTTTAGGTAAGTTGAAATCAGTTTGTTTGTGCGTATTAGAATCGCTTTTATCAACATTAGAAAAGGTTTGGTTAGACATACCCGTCGCTACTAATCAATGAGACAAGATTGGATGATACTATTAATAACCAGGATATGTACATAAGTAATTATGATCTTATTAGGGCCGATCGTTCTAGAACAGGGGGAGGCGTCTGTTTATATGTGAAAACATCCCTTAACTATTTAGAATGAAAAGATCTGACTAGAGATAATCTCGAAGCTATATGTGTTGAGATTCGCAAACCTTCCACTGCACCATTTATTGTCGGTACTATTTACAGACCTCCAAGTGCTTCTGTTGACTCTTTTGCCACAATTGAGCAATTAGTAAAAACAATAGATGATGAAAATAAGGAATTTTACATACTTGGTGACTTAAATGCTAACATGCTTGACACCTCAAACAATGCCACAAAGAATTTGAATTCAATCATGGAATTATATCAATTATTGCAAACGATAAACACACCCACCCGTGTGACCACGACCTCATCCTCCCTAATAGACGTTTGTCTTACTCCCACTCCAATTAAGTTAATAACATCACAAGTAATACCAATTGCCATTAGTGATCATTACATGATCTTCGTTGTTCGTAAAATAAATATCCAGCGCAAACAAAACAGTCACAAGAAAGTTGAAATTCGAAATTTTAAATATTTTAATGCTGAGAGTTTCCAAGCTGACCTGCGTGGTCAGGAATGGGAATTATTAGATAACAATCTCTGCGTTGATATGATGTGGGATACATGGAAAACACTTTTCGTACAAGTTCTTGATAGGCATGCCCCAATCAGGGAAAAGAGAGTTAAAAGTAAACCAAATGTTCCTTGGCTCACTAGTACAATTAAAAAACAAATCCGCGAATGCGATCGCCTTAAATCTCTTGCTATTAGACATAAATCGGAAAATTACTGGAACGCGCGCATACAAAACCTCTAGAAATCGCGTAACTGATGCATTGCGAGAAACAAAAGCAGCATATTATAAAGGAGAATTTAAGAAAGTCAAACATGATCAGAAAGCTAAAATCTTGTGTGGATCATAATACATTAATTTGTGCTTATAATGCACTTATACTTCCACACCCAGATTATTGTTGCGAAGTTTGAGACACCATTGGTGCCACTCTTTCTGATCGACTCGAGAAACTACAAAATAGGGCAGCTAGAGTTATTACTGGCCGTAAAAACGAACACGGTCAATCTGAACTTGCTCTAGACGAACTGAAATGGAAACCTTTATATGAACGCAGAACACATTTCGTAGCAAGTCTTATGTATAAAATAACTCGCGAACTGGCGCCAAAACGACTAACCAACATTTTTCAAAGGACGTCTTCCTCTTATTACTATAATATGCGAGGCTCTTCCACCAAACTCTTTTTGCCCAAACCTAAGACTGAATATCTTTAAAAAAGTCTTAGTTATAGAGGAGCGAAATTGTGGAACAGCCTTTCTGATGAAGCAAGAAACAAACACACTCTTGCTTCGTTTAATTCATGTATACGACACCTGGCCAATTAATTAATTAATTAATTAATTAATTAATTAATTACGTTTATTAAAAATATTGCACAGTACTAACATTAATTTAATATGTAAATAATTATACTCGTTGTATTTGTAAATGTATTGTAATTGTTGTTAACTGTAATGTAATGTATGACCATAATTTGCATTAATTGTATTTTTTAACTATTTAAATCTACGCCCCCCTTGGAAATCAGCCTTCGCTGTAGGGATTAGCGTAGCTAAATAAAGTTTTACCTACCTACATACCTACCTATGTGGGACTTATGAATTATGTATAATATGACCCTGACAAAGTGTAGAGGTACTTTATACCGTTATAAGGTTTTATATAGGAAAGTATTTTTCTATTATATCTGCTGTTATTCTTTTGCATTCAATGCCAATGGGCAAGGTATAAAAGACGAGGGTAAATGACTATTGAATTATATATTATAGGACATACGGTGCACTATTTTGCCATTATTATACTCGCGTGTAGACAAAATAGGAAAAGCATATTAGTTATCTAAATTCTATACTGTAGTCTGTAGATTCCCTAACAATTTTTGTACCTTATACACTCCTTACTACCTAGTGTTTAATACAAACGATGAATTATACAATAATTTAACCTATTAAAAAAAATATGCGATGTTTATAAACAATTTTTGAATCAATCAATCAATACTCAATATAGTTTCAATGTCCATTTGACTTGTATCTAATTCATATAAAGCGTGTGCGCGAAAAGACCTCAAAAGGAGCTACGACCTACCACAGTATTGTGTTGAAATTAACAAGTAAATCAATTCAAAGATAAATATACCGTTTCCAAATAACGCTAACGGCATATTATAAGAAGTTATAAATATGTGAAGTGAACCAGGGGCAAAACAGAAACGTGTGAAATGAAAGTGCGCCAGAGGCCTCGAGAGAACATTAAGAACAATTTCAAAGCATACGATCATACGTTTTTATTGCTTGACTTCCTGACTTGTCTGTTGCTATAAAAATATGTTTAGCATGCTTTTTATAATTTAAAAGCACACAGGAACCAAATTTAGCAAGTATTTAAATTTCATATGATTCTCAAAGTTGATTGTACAGAACACTCTCACTCCTTGCAATCGAAGTGTAAAGTGCGGAAGTGGAAGCATGTAATTTGATACTTTGCGTACTCCCTCTTGGGCGATCAAATTTCCGCGTGCCACGTGACCAGCCCCAGCCAGGGTCTTTGCTTCACAAGAGGAAAGAGCCTGGGAACGAGGTTGAGGCAACAATCGCTACAATGTTGATGACTAAAGCTATTGTGCACTGAACCGAAGATATGAACATACAAAGTCGTCATCCTCTCGCGCAGTTATACAGCATTCTTCGTATTGCACTCCGCTCGTGTTATTGACAAAACCATTTTATTGAGTACCCGCCGATGACATGAACTTTTACAAAGTCGTCATCTGCTCACGTAGTAATATTGATTATTGTGCTCTTGTTTATATTGAAAAACCATTTTATTGTACTCGTGTTATTGATACATCTCGCTTGATAATGACTAAAACTTTTGTGCACTGAACCGAAGATATGATACAAAGTCGTCATCGTCTCGCGCAGTTATACGGCCTTCTTCGTATTGCACTCCGCTCGTGTTATTGACTGCAACCATTTTATTGAGTACTCGTGTTATTTACAAAACCATTTATGGACAACAGCGGAACTAACCGTAGATAACCGACTTTCGCCCTATGCTCGCAATGCATTACATCGATACGTCATAAATCTGTCATCAAATGTGCTTTTCCCGACATATACCTACCTCTGGTCCTGACAATGCAGCTACTGATTGAAAATCAGTAGATGCAAAAATACAAATGTTGAATTGTTATTGTCAACTGTCAAGTTCAGTTATTTTTAGACAATATGGTGTTAGCCAATGAGAATGCAAAATTGACCGACCCAGACCAGGAATTTCTCGTCTCTCCCCTCGTCCTCACATGAAAGCCCTGGGAACGAGGTTGTAAAGACCTTAAATACGAGATAAAAGCAACCTACTATTTTAAAATTGATTTTAAACGAATTCATGAAATAACAATGTTTAAAAGCTGTATTTTCTAATATATGGGCGTCCGAAGCGGACAAAATTATGAACGCATATTAAACAATAAACCAAAATACGCACTAAATATTTGAACACTCGCACTAAACGTTTGAACACTCACAATAGAAATTTTTCTATGTTTAATTCTGTGTGGTTTTTAATTATGAGTTAAATCCCAAAAAATACAATTAAAATTACCTCGTATTTTCGCATGTGCCTTTCTCCTCGAGCCGCCGCCTTTAATTTATAGAAAAACCTCAGAACCGGGAGGTGACATATTTTATGAATATTAAATAGAAAGGGCATGTAGCAAATAATCTACAACGGTTAAAAACGTGAAAAAATATCAAACATTTGCAAGAATTTCGAACTAGCATTCCACAAATTCCACAATGCACACACACAATATTCGAAGTGTCACACACAATATTCGAAGTGTCGCACACAAAACATTCGAAAAAATCTCGTTAATTTATGCAACTATTCACATATTCTATTCTAATTTATGTGACGATTAATTTATACATACGGAGGGAGGGAAATATAGTTAAGGAGCGGACCATTTGATTTTTGAGGGGGGGGTGGAAGATTCAGTCTGTGCAAGAATTTTTTTCCGCCCAGGCGAACAAGACAGATATTTTTTTCCTGTAAAAGTGCAGCGCAAGATATTTTTTTCCCAATATATTTGGCCGCAGGATATTTTTTTTGCCTCTCATAATAATGGCTTACAGTAACTTTAGGCTTTCATATAGCTATCATCGGAGACGTTTTCAGAGGCCGAGAACTGAATCCCAAGAGGGGCCAAGGAATTTTCACTTTGCTTTATTTTATATGGTTATGTCTTAATGTTCCCCACACTAAAGCGTGCAAGTTTACTTACAAAGAATGTATAACTGCACCAAAACCCAAAGCATGCAGGGATAGAGTAGAGTACTCGAAAATGGGGGAGGGTACAGTATATGAATGACCTGTAACCTTGGGGGGTTCAGGGGCATGCTCCCCCGAGAAAATTTTAAAATTTGAACCTCGGAAATGCTATTTCCTGCGTTTTCAGCCATGGATAATTATCTTAAGCCCAGATTTTCTCAGGGGGGGGCAACAATTTTGCCAGGGAACACCACTGGCTATCGTATGTCAGAGGCTCCAAAGGTGGTAGAATCCCTGTGATGTTATCCACTGTTCACCCCGTGTTCTTTTAAGCAAATGTGCCTGCTCAAAAATGCAAAATCTTGCAAGCCTGTGGACACAATACCGAAGTGAAGAGCATCAGTAGAGTTACATGTAGAAAATTTTTTTTTGAGCGCTCTCTTTTGCATGATATTTTTTTTTCTCGATTGTGTGCTGCATGATTTTTTTTTTCTTTCTCCTTGGGTTGCAGGAAATTTTTTTTTGAAATCTTCCACCCCCCCCCCCCCTTTCAAGGAAATAACGTATACAATCTAAGGAATTTAGAGAAATTTTGATGACAAAAATGAGAAATTTTGACTTTGAAAATGGAAGCACTGCACTGGAAATATACAGCCAAGATGGCGGTTTGCTTGCTGGTTGCCTGATACACAAAATTCCTTCGAAACTGTGGAGGCAACATTGGTACGAGCAAGGCAACAGTTACGCATCTGTGATGTTGAGTCTTCGCAGTGCCTCCACAGTTTCGAAGGAATTTTGTTTATCCTCATTTAATATTGCAAGTGATATCATTCTTAAAGATTCAGCTTGGCATTACGGCACTACGTGCAAATATATCAATATATCAATAACATATATGTGAATATAGGGAAATTACTGATCTGTTTCTCAATATGGTATCGAGAGAAAATAGCGCAATAACAACATGAAAACCGAGATAAAAACGAACAACAACAAAGTACTGCAGTACTATAAATATTTACCGCGTTACGTTTACTTTGGTCTTTGTCTTTGTACTAGAAACTTTAGAACAAAAACTAGTGTTTCTATTCGTTTGTGTGCGAGTGTTAGTTCATAAGTTTTGCCCTTGGCTTTTATACGCTGTATTTTTATAGAATAAACTAAAACAGGCGACGAACAGTCGGGAATTTTTTTCTATACAGCCAATCACTTGTCAGAAAACAGCTGTAAACAACCTAATTAGAACAAAATCTTTGTATTGCTTGTAAACTTAAATGAAATATTGAAAATTTAACTCAGTTTACAAGCCAGTAAAATGGAAAAATGGCTGCAAATTGCAGTGTTGTTGCATTGGAGATTTCAAAAAATCGCCGTATAAATCGCAATAAAAATTGCAAGTGTAAACAAGCCTTTACATTAGTAGAAAATGCCCTGGGATTTTGTATAGAAGATGCATTCATGAATATATTCTTTCCAGATTACATATGAATATTCATGAATATATTCTTTCCAGTCGTTTCGTCTTTCAAATTGGAAAACAGAATTTTAAATATTAAAGTACATACGGCTAAATAAGCCTACATGCAAAAATCACTAATATTAAACTAAATAAATAAATAGATACCAAATAATTTGAGAAAAATATAAAGCACGACTATTAAGGCTACATATACCGATCAAGTTTTATTAAATATCAACTGGGCAATCACCAACAAATATAATATACATATGGTTGTTGAAAATTTTGCTAGAATTTTATGCCAATTACCAATCAGAAACAGTGTAAAATAGCACGATCGCCTTCAAAATTAGGTAAAGCAATAGAATTTTGCATCCAAAACTATATTTTGTAGTACTACAGACACAAATATAAAAATAACTCGGAGCTAACTGACTAAAGTAAAGTGTCTCCGTCGGTGACGAACATTAGGGAGTTTAGCAACCTATAGAACGGCAACGATAACGGCAAAAATATAATTACTTATAACTATGTTGTTGTATTTGAGCCTACGTATACGTTAATACTACACTTAATTTGCCTCTTTAAGTATTCCTGTTTCTCTCAAACAGCCCTTAAGTAAAAATAGTCTGCGAATTCAAATAAAACACCTCAAATAACATCGAACGAATTAACTGTTGTCGTGGTCATGCACCGTGAAAATGATGCAAATCACGTACCAGTTTCAACAATTACGGCATTGCACAATGCTAAGTCAAAACCATGTCCATGTAATTTAATACATTCGCCTTTGTTCTTGAGGATCAATGCTATTGTTGATGACCACGTTGCCGTTGCTGTTGTATTTGCCAAACTCCCGAATAAACACGGCACAGACACAGTCTAAATTGTTAAAATTAAGCTTCAAAATTTACACTATTCTTTCTAAATCAAAGTAGATAAGACCACATACCTTCTTTTTAAACATATCATTCGTTGTTTGATAATTTTATAGAAGGAAACGTTTTCTGGAATTTTACTTCCTTGATTCGTGATTCGACAACGAGGCGCGATTCTTCAGTTTTTGAAAGTTAATAAAAGTGCCAATGAAATGAAATTTTAAAAGATATGAAGACCAAATAACTAAAAATGTTATAGGATCAAAGTTATCGGACAGTGAAAATCGAAATGGCGGCCGAGATGAGCGAGATGACATGTGCGAACTCCATTTACATGGAAGGTTCCAACTCGAGTGGTACTTTTGTTTCGATTTCGATTCTGTGTTATTTATAAGACTCGCCGCTTATGAGTAAGTCTCCTCCATTTATAAACAGACAGTTGGCAGTGTGAGAGAGATACAACTATCTGAAAAATATAAGCCGAACTTCGACGATTCGAGCGTCAGGACGTTAGCAGCTACTACTACTACAAAGGCCCTTCGCTTCGCGAAACTTTGAAGTTCTGTTTATATTTTTCAGGTAGTTGTATCTCTCTCACATCGCAGCTGTTTATTACTGTCGCTACCTATGGACTGGCACCGTCCGCTCGAGTCGATATAAACAGGCCCTCGGACTATACGTTCACGCGAGACAAGACAACTATAACTCATATGGTCAGTTGTGTTCGGATTCGTCTTGTTTCATGCGTCCTTTGTGAATTCTCAAAGGGCGAAATCTAAGTGCTAATAGTAAAAATGCATAAACAGACCTACCTGAACTGCAGTAAAATTCCAAACGCAATCTTTAATATTGCAATCCTGTATCGCAGTAAGTATCGACCACTCTCCAGTCGGGGGAGACAAACTATGTAATTTTTAGTCAAAACGCGCTGGGTATGTCGGGAAGACGGAAGCTACGTAAAGATCGTCGACTACCTCTTCCGTCAGCACCTCTCGGCAGCAGTAGCACAGATGATAGATAATACCATATTTGGCATAGATAATACCATCTGTTTCATATCTATCATCTGTGGCAGTAGATTCTAAAACTGTTATATAGGTATTGGTTAGGATTTTTTTTCGAAAAAGCTAGGACTAAAAGCTCTCAGCATAATTTCTATTTTAAATTAAAAAGGGGTTTCTGGACAGGTATGTTAAAGATTAGTGAGGACAAATTAATTTTGGTTTTCAATTAATATTCTAGTCAAACATGCTCAAACTTCACATTTAAAATACCTATATCTTCTTACTTTTGCTTAATTAATAGATGCTTTATATCACTCATGTAATGTAATATTATATAATAGAAATTTACACATTAAATAGCCACTAAGCTAAATTACAGTGTGTTACAAATACAGTTTTCACTGTTTTTAAAAATTGATTAAGAATGAAATAAGAACTATTTATTATATTATCTTATACTATAAAAAACCATGCAAGATTGGTAAGATTTTCAAACCTAAGAGTTAGCTAAACTAAGAGTTATATGAAGAGTTAACTATTGATCCCTTTTCGCTGCCGCATAATTTTTTTTATGTTTTATATTCGAGCCTTTCAAAGAATTTCCACTTTTCGGCCATTTTGCTCCTTTCGGCGTAGTTCGGTTGCCGTTCGGAAATTTTCGCCAACTCTCGCTTGCTGTTTGTCTATTTTAATATATTTACATTTTATGAGTAAACTTCAATATTTGCGTGTGTTTATAAGTTATTTGGTAAAGTTTAAGAGCAATATTTGGCATAAGTCTTTTATTTTTGCGACTTTTTTGGGGCTATCTTTAAAAGGGGGAACGGGGAATCGGGGAACGGGGGAATATCATATTCCCCCTTTCAAAGACCTTTAAAAGGGGGATTATGATATTCCCCGATTCTCCCATTCCCTCGTTCCCCGATTCCCCGTTCCCCCCTTTAAAGATAGCCCTTTTTTGCTTATACCTTTTATTTTGCGACTTTTTTCGCTTATACCTTTATTTCTGCGACTTTTTTTGCTAAAACCTTTTATTTTGCGACTTTCGCTTATGAGTTGTGCCTTTTATTTTTGCGACTTTTTTTCGCTGCCTTTTATTCGCGAAAAAAGTCGCAACAAAGCAGCCGCTACAAAGTTGTCTTTCGAAGGGCTTCGTTCATGCTCAGAGGAGGAGTGAGGGTCTTCCCACAATGCATTGCGTCTCATTATTATTCACAATTACGATTTTTGGCAAACGTTAACGAAAAAGTTGTTGAAATATATTGCGATTTTTGGCTCTGAAGATCTCGTTTTTTCGAAGGTATGTGATGATAATTGTTTTGTTTGGACATCTAATTAAACAGTTTTATATTTTTTTGGTATAGATATTGCTTTTTAGTTATGCTAATTACGCATTGTATTTATGGTTGTTTCGGGTCAATGGACACGCCAAAAAAATGGCTTTGAAATAACGCAGGAGCGAACTACCTTTTTTAATGAGAAAAGTAAAAAAAAACACGTCATCAAATTCAGGAAGACTTGCTCTTTCTGTTGGTTCTTTAAAACGCTAGATCGCTCCTCCAAATCGACAAGCAATCGCGGTTTGAAAATGGGGTATTTTTGCTATATTTTAATGCCGATGGCGGGAATAGACCGGGTGTTGTCCTTAATATGGCGCGAAGGAAACTATTTTCTATATCTTTGAAACATACGCATGTAGTTGTTACATATTTTGAGTGTAATGTTACCTTTACAATTAAGGTCAGAATGTTAGTTTACTGTATTGACTGTATTTTTGTCATTTTGTTATAGAATTCGGACATGGAATCATGCAGATTGTAGTGATGTTGTCATTGTTAGTGACGAATGAAATGATACTGCCATATTAAAAGCGAGTATATACGAGGGTATATACGTCTAAAGGTGATACCCCAGGGAAACCTAATAATAAGAGACACAAAATTTCACGTTTGAAGAATTCAACATCAAGTCGAACTTTGTTTCAGAGTCCTGGAACATCACCAAAGGTATAAAAGTACAAAGGTTTTTACAAACATAAAATACAGTACGACTGTACAAAAACCATAGAGATTATAAATAACACTAGAGGAGGCATTGTAATCTTAATTCAGTAAAAAAAAGGGAACGCGACTATTGGGGGGCAAATTCAAGTCCCGGATGTGTATTCGTGTTCCCATTGGTGACGAGTTTCAAATCAGCCAATGAGAGCACGATTTTATATCCGGGACTTGAATTTGCCCCCCATTAGCTACGTTCCCAATTTTTAAACTCGATGCCTCCTCTAGTGTTATTTATAATCTCTATGACAAAAACATTGTATTTTAAACCCTTTAAGTGGCAATACGCCCTGATGCACCCTACTTTAGTATTTTACTCTGTCTAACGCTAGACCATTTTACTCCTCAAGTGGAGAGTGCTGCCACTCAATGGGTTAATGAGACAATGAGATGTTAATGGGGGGGGGCTAAAAGTTATTATCATAGTAACAATAACTTTGTATTTTAATGCTTTTTTGCCTGTGAG